AATTTATAAGTATTGAAAAAATCATATTAAATTAGTATCTTATATAGATTCTAGAAGTCCTCCATAGTCATAGACCCAGATAGGACTATAATAAGATCTAATCTAATGAGACTTTTAGCCCCGTATGGAGTCCCCTGGCAATCCTTATTGAACTGCACAGAGATACTTTAAAAATGTTTGAAGTGGATTAAATTGTCTGTCCTCTTCAGATCTCCTCTCACTAGCTTATATATATGCAAACCATCTATCATATCATTTCTGCTCGGCCTTTCAATCTTAATTGAGTTGAGCTAATTGTGTAAGAAAAAGTTGCGGATGTCAATCTCCTGAAAATTACAACCTCCAGAACCTCTAGCATGAAGCGCGCGCATAAATAAAATGAACGAACATGATTTGGTAAGCCTAATCAAAGCGCGCGCGTAAAGGAAAAGGGAATGAAATATGCTGAAAATATGCAAATGAACTCTCAATCTATACAAGTAAATTTAGCGGGCGCAAAATACTGGTGATTTGACAATCCTTTAATACAAGTAGAATGGGGGAGGACGAAGGCTGAACACCTGTCAGTGGTGTCCTCTACGAACCTGGGAGTGAAATATTTTCCCAGAGCTGAGATTCAGTCACGAAAAAGGGTGGGATGAATTTTAATTGATGGATTTTTGACCTGAAGAAGTTGCACTCGATATTTTGGTCGAAAAATTAGTCGGCAGAGATTTCACAGCCGGAACAACGTCGAACAAAAAGTCATCACCACCAACATACGATTCACGAATGGGCCTAGGTCTATCTGGGGGTCGTATTCAAACATCCGACATTTCTTAAACTCCTTTTATACTTGCGACGAAGCATGTCTCAATCGATCCTACACCTGCGACCTAGCTCCATACCCGTCCGATCACCTACCTAGACACGCTCTAATGAGGAAAGTCATGATGGAAACGGGACTTGTACAAAGGAGGAAGAAGAGGGAAGACACACCGAGGGGATTACACAAATCCCCAATGACGAAAACAACCCAACGGTACGATATGAAGGTGCAAGGCTAGAGCAACAATGAAATCTTGGACGGCATTCATAATTCGGAGTTAATGAGGATGTCAAAGGCTCGGGCGCGTGGTGGCCGAGGCTGGGGAGGAAATCGCGCTACGGCGTGTATACAGCGGGTTTCTGGACGGTTAGGCTTGGTATGATTCAACACATAAATGAAGTCTGAGGTGGTCCGGTAATTAAAGTGGGACGAGGTTTATCTGTACTTCACGGTAGTTAACCTGATCCGGCCCAACCCCACACGTGCTTGAGCTCCAATAGGAGTGCAACGGTAGCCATGTAACCTAGCACGTTAATGAACAAAACAAAACAAGTAGAATGGGTGCCCTAATACGTAGGCTACGCGAGGGAGACACAGTTGGATTTTATACCTTCGCACCATCCAGCTCTCTTAACACCAGCCGCCAATCAAAGATATCCGGTTATACTAGCCCTGGCCGAGCCAAGTACTTCGCCAACAACCAGGCCCATGTAATATGAATTCTCAGCTACTGCAAACTGATAGCTACAATAACTTCATAAATAAAGTGTTATTTTTTAAATTTTTGGTTATAATCTCGCACGGCCATTGAAATGAACTAGCGTAATAGCAGTTGAGCTGAGAAGATGGGTATGCCATAATGTCGATGGCAAGGATATCGCACTTACTAACTGCGTCTTGGTGTATGAATTACGCCAGCCAGACGATACAGAGAATCCCTATCTACTAAGGTAGCTACAATTTCTTAATGTAAACCCTATCTAGGTCGACAACTCGCATATAACTAGCTTATTTCCGCTGACGGAGGTCACTTGCATACAGCTAAATTTGGAGAAGTCGCAACCACATCGGACATTTCGGAAGAGTATGCTCTGCAACTTGGACTCGATCTAAATTTGTCAACCAATCCCGAACTAAGATTATTTTCTTAACCCCATCTTCATATTAAGACTTGCCGGCAACTAGTCGGGTCTTGCGCTGGATAAGCGGCAAAATCAACCAACGCTCTATGCGCGGTAATATCTTGCAATAGCTGAGGACATTCATGTCTTCAGAAATTAGGAGTAAGGGAGATCGTATCATTTCTTACCGAGTGCATCATATCAATCTCATTTTTACATATGGGTTGCGTGTAATTATTTTTAAAAGGCTGACTACTACGATCCACAATCCTAAGTTCGGACAGCCAATTAAAAATCCTTGAGCTAACTTGCTGATATGTTGACAAAAGGATGACGCATTTCACATAATTTTTAAGTCGCCAGGGCTCCGAGTTCCTTCCATGACTATAGGACTACAAGAGTTAACTAAATATATTGAGGATGAGCACCACTATTTTCAAAGCATAATAACGAGGGGTAACATGGATGCCAAGTCTTTCTCTACCTAGGATTATAGCATTTAATCCAATAATAGGTCTCTCATCTTTCTGGCCAATAGAATTTCCAGATTGCTTCTCACGCAAGCTGGCTGCATGTTGAGGCCATCTCAAATCTCTTGGGCGGCGATAATTCTACACGGAAATTAGGAAGCCCTGAAGAGATCACCATACCTAGCTTGGATTCGACTGGTTGTGTCAAAGGCCCGCACGAAATCTGTTTGGACGCTTGTGTAAAATAATGATACTGCTAGAAGCTTAAAGCGTTGGGAAAGAGTGATTTGCTTATCCAGATGAGAACTTATTCCTCCTTTTCCTGCACCTCGTCTCGCAAACTGAGCCATCTACTGTTTACATTCTTAGTTGCTGGTAACATGGTCATGCAATAAGGAAATTAAAATCTCAATAAGGAAAAGGCACTCTATCCTCGTCGCCCGCCCATGAATAGTTTCTTTTGGGATGTAGCAATTCTTGACATATTTCTGGAGCAGGATTTTAGCTCAAGTCAATGCCAATCTAGGGATTATTAATGAAGTAGCCTTATATTGTTCTAACTTAAGCGTACTTACACTCGACCTACGTGCCCAACTATAATAATCCTAGGTCGTTTGACTTGCGGACGCGCTGACAACATCTGAGCAGACTGCAAAGTTTTTAATCAGTCGCAAGGGCACTAGGTATCCGTATTTACTGATCGGCCTAGCCCTAGCAACTTCTCTTCGGGGCAAGTACCAAGATAAGTGCCTAAGGCTGACAGGGTTATTTTCGAGGGCTTTCATGTTGCAATTACTAGTTGATTGGACCAACCTGCGGGCTGGATAGCCATGTCTCCAGCACACAAGCTGCATGGGGAAGTTCATCAACAGGTAGCGTTTTTTAGGAGACAAGGGTATGAATCTTACCATCAAAGGAATGCTTCTTATGCTGCTAAGCCTATGGCGCAATGAAGATTCTTACATTGCCCGGGAACGTGACCGGGGATTCTTGGCATCAGGAGCCGCCGATATCAAGGGTTCGAGGCGGCACTTGCCGAGAGGAATGGGCATGCTACTTGCTAGAGACCCGCGTAGAGGCAATACCCATCAGCGTCATATTGCGAGATCCATTGCCCCTGCCGCTGCACATGCATATGCAGGGCGTTTTTGACAAGTCCAGGATGTGGTGGCTCTTCACATCAACTCAAGCTCGCGTCGCAGCAGTCTTGCTCCCTCCCCCGAGTCAAGTCCAAGTTCTTTTCGGATAGCGGCCAAAGAGCATCCCAATGCCAACATTTCAGTGCGGCCTAGTACCCTCGGACTACAACGACGACCTATCGTGGCAGACCTTAATCAAACCAAGGAGATGAGAATATATTATCTTCGACGATCTGCACCTGCCGATACTTTTCCTGATAAGTCTCCGTCCGTGCGGGCATGCGATGCCGCACGAATGAAGGCGCCTTAGTAGAGACCGCCCAGTCTGTCTCTCTCCTATCTAACCTTTCAGCTATTGGCAGCAAAGAGCTTCCCCACCACATAAGCCTCCACAAGTCAATGGAGGATCAGAAGTTTCCATTAAAACAGGGTCCAACATGAGATCCTCGCATAACAATTTGAGTACATGACTACACATTTCGCTTCTCGCCCGGCCACTGGACCTTATCGCCTCCTACCATACCGGGTTTCGAGCTGAGCAGTTTCCCAAGCTTGACCCGACGGTCCTGCGTCAACCGATATTCCTCCTTCAACCTGCAAATGCACTATCGTTCGGTGTTGAGCAAGGTATTCTCCGCTTAACAGCTCATAGTGGCGCTTGTGTACTGTCGATTGGTCTCCCCATAATCCCTAGCGATCACCCTCCACAGCAATTATTCATCTGCCGTGTTTATCGGGTCTACCATCCAGTTTCTCCGTACCACACTTGGACTTACCGTGGCCGCAGCCTCTAAGCAGATCCATTATTTGCGGGCATTGGCCTTAGCTCTCTTCGCCAATCCTATGAGTTCGCTCTCCATTCTCAACTATGGTAAGGTATACCGAGTCCCCACAAGACTTCCATCCAAAGACCTGCTAGCTGCCGTGGACATCTAGGATCTTCCATGTTGACGAACTGCCTGGTGCTATACGAAAGTTAGATGGCGGGATTCCCAACTGTTGCTTCTCCTACAACCTATCGTCTCATGAGCCCATTATACATGTCGTAGCAGATGGGCTCTTCCCTTGGCGCACAATTTAATCATGCAAGGTGAAATTTTAATTTGACATTTGAACAAGCCCCTCCACAGTCAGTGCGTAGGACCCACGACTGTACAGTATAACTCGAGATACCAGGGCTACCGCTTCTGTAAACCTCTATTCTCCTGTGGGTCCCTCTTGATGGACTCTGGGAATCTCTGCCGGCCGCATTGATGATCTTTTCTAGTTTCTTATTCAAGAACTAGCATCTCTGACACCGTGCCTGCCTTCTTTTGTGTCATTGAATTTTCAGTATGTTCATTCGTATAGAGGAGATTAAGCTCCCCTCACTAAATTTTACACATGAATAAATAGTCGCAGAACTCTTTTCGTTCTTTCAGGATTTCAAATTCTCTCTTATTCAACGACAACGTCAGGGAAAATGATCGGCCTTCTCTTCACTGTCTTTACAACAATAGCTTTAAGCTCGGCTTTACCAAATAACGCTCGCTCTGATCCAAAGGCTTCGGCCACTCTTCCAATCGTTGACCTCCAGTACGCTCTTCACCAAGCTACTATTAACGTGAGTTCAAATACTTCGATTCTATGCGAGCAAGGCGTAATATGTGTCTAGGAAACTGGAAAATACTACCAGTTTTCAAATATCCGCTATGCTGCTCCTCCAACCGGTGACCTTCGATTCGCTGCTCCTGCTCCGCCAGCTGTAAACCGTACCCTTAATGATGGCCACCACAATCCCATATGTCCGCAAGCCCTACCATTTTGGATACAGCTTACAGCAGAATTCTTGAGCGGAGCAAACTCAAGCAAACTACAGACTGTTGAGGAACAAGTTGCTTCGTTGGAAAATTCTCTTACGGTCGAATCAATAACTAGCTACAAACCTGTGGATCCCCGAACATCTGAAGATTGTTTATTTTTAGATGTTATTGTACCTCAAAGCGTATATGACGAGAAAAAGACCGTCCCCGTGCTGGTTTGGATATATGGTGGTGGCTATGTCAGTGGCGACAAGAATAGTGCTGGAAATCCGTCTACTCTTTTAGCTACTGCAAAAGAGAATAGTGATGGTGTGGTCTATGTGGCTATGAATTACCGCCTCGGACTATTCGGTTGGCTCTCTGGTTCATCTTTTGCATCACAGAATGGCCTACCAAATGCTGCACTTCATGACCAAAGATTCGCACTCGAATGGGTACAAAAGAATATCCATCTCTTCGGTGGAGATCCATCCAGAGTAACCGTAATTGGCGAGTCTGCCGGTGCAGGTTCCATAATGCATCACATGACAGCGTGGGGCTCCACTGACGATGCTCCCTTTCAACAAGCCATAATACAGTCTCCAGGCTTCCCTCCTATCTCTAGTGACGCTCAGCAGGAAAAGATATTCAACTCAGTAATTTTACAGGCTCAAAACCTTGTTTCTAATAACATTACTACCGTCGCCGATCTTAAAAAGGTTGATTTTGCTACACTTGCAGCTCTGAATACAATTGTGATTGCGAGATCAGGACCATATGGAACATTCACTTTTGGTCCAGTTGTAGATGGAACTTATGTCCCGAAACTTCCAAGTCAGCTCTTCGCCGAGGGTAAATACGCCCGAAACCTCAAAGTTATGACTGCGCACAATTCTGATGAAGGTCTAATCTTTACCTATCCTCTTACAACTGAGACTTTTATCGCCAATAACCTCGCCAATCTCTTCCCAAACGCTTCGAATGATACCCTATCATACATGATTAACACCGTTTGGCCGCCAACCTACGACGGAAGTTATCCCTATAAAAATGTTATACAGCGGGCAACTGTTGCTATCTCGGAGCTCACATTTAACTGCAATGCACGATACGCTGCTCTAGCCTACCCTGAATCGTCACATTCCTACTACTTTACCGTGCCTCCAGGGTATCACGCTGCTGATGTTGCTTATACATTTTATAATGGGGATGATAATACACTCAACGCCACCGTCGCCCGTACAATGCAAGGGTACATAACGAATTTTGCAAAAAGTGACGGTAATCCTAATGGCCCTGGATTGCCAGTATTTCCTATGTACGGTAATGATAGTTCTATGTTAGTAATAAGTGATACTGTGTTAGGTAGCGTACAGGTTGATAGTGCTGCCAATGATCGTTGTGCCTGGATGCAATCTGCACCCTATGCCTAATAGTTCAAATCGGCGTCCTGCGGAAAAAGGAATGAACAGATACGAGACAAAAGGATTCGAACTACGAGCCTTTGCTATTTGTCACGTCTATGTATTCGATTCCACTATTGTACATATCATGAGTGGGTTTGAGAGTTACGGAGTATTGAGATTATATAAAGCGACACATCACAGCTTTCGATTAGTGGTTCTGTACCAATTAGTAGTAATAAATTCACTACCTGAATTAGATAAATTTATCGTAATTTCGCCCAGAATGTGCAGAAAATCGGCGATGCTCGTGCCTAGAAGGTTTATCTTGGAGGAAGAATCGCCCCGGCAAGTACCAGCCTAAAAAGTGCTAATAGGCTCAGATTTCGCAGCTACATTAAGGAGTTTTCATATAGGTGGAGCCCAAGGTCGTCAGTTTCAATGAGATGTGCACGGTACTAAGAGAGCAGCGGCGGAAAATGAACGGCGATGGCGAGCCGAGAGAAGGGACTGCTTTAATCGCGAGTAGTGAGTCAAGTAATTTCCTGGGTGCCAAGAAGAGGTAGCCCTAGTTGCGTCGCCTCTCGTAGTTCCCAACTACAACTAGACTCGGGTAGAGCCCAAAGCTTATGCGTGAATTTAACGTGCCTCCCAGGATAGGGTAGCTATGCACCTACATTAATCCATGCCCCAGCACCCTCGGATGTCGGTGGGGGCAGTTGTTATCGGCGTGCATCTTCGTTCCTTTTTACATTGGATTAGGTTCTAAGCTAATGCTCTGTCTCCATTTTAGGACCAGGGCCGAAGCAATCGGCAAGTGTCTCTGCGTGTAGGCCCAACTCCTTCCAACCACGTTAACTTCCACAGAAAGCGCAGAAGTCAACAACAAAAGTAAAATTAAAACGTGAATCAAATTAAAAGAGTTTCCTCGTTCGTCTTGATCCAATGCTTCTTGCCAATTTCCTTCCAGTCATACCTTATCTTTTCTTGATCTCCGCTGGGAGCGATGGATAAGCTGGCGTGTACCTCCCGTAGCCGGCTGGTTGTATGCACTGTATTGTTGAAGTCTTCCTAGACTTCGATAAAGGCTACCGCACTATCATGCTTCTTCTTTGGACTCCAAAACTCCGAGACCCAATCCCTCTACCATGGAGATATCCGTTGTAAAGGCGGTAATAGCCTCTTCCGCTCTTATGAACGCAGCTATCGCGCGAGCTACTCCCGAGAACCTCATCTACTCGACCACACGAACCACCACGAGCTGAACTTTATTTACTAGTCCGGACTTTCTAGATCTGGCATAGCAGTCTCGAAAATCCGATCGGTGAGGTCCCCCACAATTTGATATCGAGTGAGGGCCTTGCACTCGGCTTGCGAGTGCTTCGTTGATCCGCAGTTCCTGCAAGCTAGAGCGCGGGAGCATCCGCGGGTGGCAAGGAAGCCAAGACAGCGTTTGCACCGTTCGACTTGTCGACGATTTCGAAAGAGCTTCGCAGCTCCAAAGTCGTCGAGTATTCGGAATCCAGGCCGGCGCATGGTACCACGAAGAAAGCACGCCGGCCAATTCTAGTAGGGTGCTCCGGATTTGCAGGTCCCATGGGGACGGATAAGAAAGGGAAGCGATTTGGCCACTCGCGTCACTTCGTTGGCGACCATCTGCGCCATTATGATGATGGGACCTTTGAGTGTGTGTATTTTCTCTGGGACGGAGGCAACTTGTATGGCAACCAAATTTGATGCTGGTTCCAAATTGATTCCATAGTCCATCCGTAGGGCGGAAGAATCAAGGAGCTCTTTCCGAGAGTCTAAGTTTTTTGCTATCAATGCAAAGCAGGTTTTCACCTGCTGGACCAACGTTAGATCGTTGGCTGGAGTTCTGAGTGCCTGCGATAAAACTGATCTCATACCGAACTGTTATATGATTCGGTGAGGATAGTTGGGAGCGAGGCCTGGAAAAAGTCGGAAGTCGGCTTTTGTCCTCGTATTTCCGCTCTTCGCTTTTGGGGCGAGTGGTGCAGCCTTTGTGGTCGACGGCCCTGCGCTGTGGCCAAGGCCTGATCGAGCCACTGTAGCCCAAGTGGTGGAGGGCAACGCTGAACACCTGTACGCGGTGTCCTCTACGAACCTGGGAGTGAAATATTCTCCCAGAGCCAAGTTCAGTCAAATTTCGCAATACCGAACAAGGTAGCCCACGAGGCAATGATTCAAAATGCTCCTCCGTGTCAAATTTTCACTCCCAACGAGATCGACTCCTACCCAAGTCTCCTAAAGTTTACAAGTACGACCAAGTACATTCTCATTCCAATGACCACACCTCTCGTCCATTATACTCTGGCCTCGGCTGGTCGCCAAATACATGCCTTGCCTATATTTACACCTGACGGAGGAATCAAAGCGTGGCGCACAAATCTGGGAGACAGTTCTTCAGGGTGGAAGTGCTGGGAAAAGGACAAGTTTACAGGATGATACGGAGGATGCACATATCCTCGACGGGCGTGAAATTCTGAATTTTGGCAAGGAGTTTCACGAGTTAAGCTTTTTGCGCGCCAAAACTCCGGTTGCGAGAGTGCAGCTGACACTATAAAAATAAGCAAACGGTGGAAGGTGTTGTGGTCCGCCTCCTGGTGGTGTTCCCCGGTATAGTACGAGTAGCCTGGGCACCTACTCCACTTGGGAAGGAGACATCTCAGATCATATTTCGCGCGGAGAAAAGTTGATGGATGACGGAGGCATGTCTGGATAACTTAGGGTTTTTAGACGTTCCCCTGGGTGGGTATTCACGGATGAGGGTTGACTTGGGGTGAAGAAAAAGCTGCCATAACTTCGCAGTGGTACTTGCAAATGAAATCCGAGGCATGAGTGCTCTTACTTTATATTGAGTCATAGCTATCTAGTTCCAAACGCAATTAAAATCTGACGGAAAAAAAGCCCAAGTAGTACGTAGGGCCGGAGCCTGGAATGTTGGAGAGTTTGGAACTCTGACATCTTGAGCCCTTGGCGGAAGAGGGTTGCTGGGACGAGCCGGAAGAACAGAAGGTGTACTTTCTGACCTGGATTTTACGAACTGGCTGATGGCCGCTCACAAGTAAGCATTGATTTTGTTTACAAATTCTTTATTATAAACCGTTAATAGTGGCGAGGGTGCCGCTCCTACATCGCTTATTGCGGTCGAGTAGATCGATAGGCGGGTCTATATTTGCGCCGTCCGACGCATTTTGGCCTCCATCACTGTTTGCAGATCTCGCGGACATTCCATCGCCCTTGACAAGGCTATGCTGCTCGAGGCTTGCACAGTCATCTTATATAATGACATCTTTTTTTTCAGTAATACATGCCTTGGGTAGTCAAAGGCTGTGGATTGGATGGTGTACCACTACACCATCCGGGCCATTCTCCCAAGTCTATACTGGGTAGCTCGAACGCCAACCCTATATGAGATGGGAGAAAGCTGTTTTGCATCCGGTGAAACTCATACACCATTCTCTCGCGGTGAAATCGTACTTGTGAGATGATGAAAGCACACTCGAATCGCCACAGGTTTTTCACGCCTTTCCATGTGGTGGGTATGCACGGAAGAGGTTATACGCCGTAAGGATTAACCTCGAGTGGTATCTGCAAATATAATCTGAGTGTGAGTGTTCTACATGTTATGTTGAGTGATCCTACTTAAAGTACGTATCTTCCGATAAAAATCTGCATAGGCCATAAGGCGCCAAATCAGGATATTAAATTATATATGTATATATATCCGCTCAGATAATGACGGGATAACAGCTCCTCTTAGTGTGTATTCGAATGAAGATCTGTGGGGGTATTACTGCTGGAAAGAAGTCGTGAGGGAGGCAAAAGAGGGAGAACACTACCCGAGGCATAGATACACCCGGCCTGTAGGCAGAAAGGACCTACATATCCTTACATAAATATAGAATTTCTAGGACAATAAACACTCACTCATTCATATACCCGCTCACAACAGGTGTCTTAATTAGTGTGCATGGAGACTGGGATACACATGACAAACTATAATACAATGTATATGATCAGGGATCCTCATAAGGATACGATCGCGTCCGTTCAAAGCAAACTGAAGTCGTTGACTTTGAACGTTTACTCCTTACCGAAGACATTTTCGATTACCTAGCCATGTATGATAATTGAAGAATTTTAGCACTGAAATTACCATGGGCTTGGAAATTTTGAATTTATCGGCTCTGGATCTTCTCAAATATAGGCCCACGATCATATTAGTTGATTGTCTTGCAGGTCTATTTTGTACATTGGCCTATTATCACAGACACGGAATTAGATTCATGAGATTGCTTAATAAGAGGCTAGGATTGATTCCGATATTATTTGGTAGAAGACTTGTCCCAAATATCAGAGAGCTACAACGTCTTTATCTATCTACAAGTAAATTCCTCATATTCCAACCACGCTAGCCATAAAGGACGTAGCATATAAAACTTGATTCGTATCATAATTTTGGAGTTGAGGTTTACCGTACATTTTGTCACTTGAGTCACATTTCTACTTATCATGCAACACGCTTAGGAATTTTCCTATTTTATGTCTATTTTTTTCGTCTAATGTATCCTTCAGAGAGCGCACTTACACTATAGTGCCATCCATGTAAACCAATCACATCATCTCTACCGACCCCAAGAATTGCTTGAACTGTTCCTTTTCCTCTGTAATATTTCGACCGCATTTGTCATCTGGAATTGCTCTATCCAACCATGATTTAGGATCTACTATATAACACTTTTGATGTAGCCAGGGTTATTTACCATAGCCCAGTAGGACCGATCTTTGGCTTTTCTCCAAATATCTCCTCTTACATTTGATCATTGAGGGAAGAACATAATTATGGTAGGGAGTTATGCGATTAGTAGCCACATGAACAGCTTAGATTGTAGATTCTTGGTACTTTTCTTCGGTATAAATACGAATTGAACCCCATGTGATCACTTCGAACTTGCATCACTCGACTACTTTGGGACCTTATCAGGTGTCCATAGATTCAATTATGAATTACCATAACCAATGGCTTCAGTCTTATAGAATGACTGGTATTGTCAACACTCCATTGCTTTGACTTGTCACTGCGTAGATTTCGCTATCCCAGATATACTCCTTGAACAGTCGTCAATCGCTTGATCCGAGTAGAGTTTTTAAGGCCGAGACCCTCCGCCTTCCGCTCTTCAGTCGCCATGCTAACTGTGCTATCCTAAACTGGAAGAGATGGCCCGTTGAATTTTCTCTGTCGCACTCGCAAAAATTGCGGCTGTGGTGTAGCTAAAGCAGCGATGGTTTGCCGTAAGGTCTCCATATCCTGTTCCAGCTACAATAAGGCGAGCAAAGACGGCTCGAGGGAGGGCAAGCTCCGGTTGTTTCTTGCGATGCATTTCGAGTTGGAGGCCCGCGTATTGTTTTGGCCGGGCTGAGTCCCGGCAGTCTTTCAATAGTTGTTTCTTTAGCTCGCAAGATTTAAGACTTATTGCCTCGATTATAAACCGATTTAATGTAGATGTAGAGTTTTCTAGCGACATGAGCTCTCTACGAGCCAGCTTGTCTGCTATTTTATTCCCTACCAGCCCTATATGGCCTAAGATTCATCCTACCATGATTGGCGCTAATTCTTTGACTACCGTAGTCCGAAACTTCTGCACCCGCCAAGAAGATGAGACTACTTTTCCCGTAATCAGAACTCGTACTGCCGCAAAGCTACTGAGGAGAAAATATATGGAGCTAGCTCTTATGTCATGATTGCTCGCTCGGAATGCTTCGAATACAGCCATAGCCCTACGGGTTTCTACGCCGTAGACCTCCGCATTCGCAATTGTGCCAAAGCCGCTCTGATCAATTACGGTTTCTGTACCATCCGCAATAGTCACGAATGTCCATAATACCCTGTCGGTGGATGAACCAGACCCTTCACTGTAAACGCACTGATAGTCTGGTGATCATGACCTAAGCCACTAATCCGTTACTTCGGACGATTCTTCTTTATTTGTTCAACGGGGTCGTCGGAGTACCAGTGCAGGCAGTTGTAGAGGTGCAAGGGGTTCCGATTCCGGCAAGAGTCGAAACATTGTTTGCACCCTGGAGTCGTGGATTCGATCATTCCCGAGCCTGCTTCTATCGTGCGTCTGTAGTCTAAGGAGGTGATTGGCGTCGTGGGTTGAATTTAATCCCCGAGTACGCAATGGTTGGTTACGGTCTAGCCTCCGAATGTGGGCCGCAGATTGGATCCGTCGTCCTTCAAGAAGAGTGTATGCCAGATTCTTAACTAATAGCAGTGGTTTGCCTGGTACGCCAAGGCGGTAGAGCTGCGCGGACCTCAGCCATGGTAGTCTGGTCGATAGGTCCACCCTAGTTTTCCAACGAAGTTTCGGACAACACCTCTGTATTCTTTCCTGGTAGGCCCAGGCCACCAGACCTCAGCAACATGCATCATACTTTAGAGGGCTACCGTGCGGACAACAGTTGTCAATAAGTCCGGCCTCTGTCCCCAGATACATCGAGTTATGCTTCGAATGAGCTGAACCAGTCGCACTCTTTAGCTAGCGTGTTTGGCGACAGCCTAACAAAGTTATGCTGCGATGCAAGTCAACTTCGAGCCACCAAATCTCGTCTGACGTTTGGACCTCCCGTTCATCGATCCTTATTGGTGGTATCTCACATCTTCTGCCCCTTAGACCGAGGAAATAAACTACTTCGGCTTTGTCAGAGTCGAACGAAACGGCATCCTCAGAAGTCCATACTACGTCTTCGTTGTTTAGGAGTATCGATGAACAAAGTAACGAAGCAATGTCGAGTTTTCAGATTTCGTGCATCCGAAATCGCCTTCCGAAACATAGTATCGGGTGTCTTATGGATCTAGCTTGCCGCTGTCAGAAATGGGCGGGGAAGGGAAGGTGTTCGCGAAGTGTCGGCGGCAACATACTACGCGCGCGTGCGAGCCTTGTCGAGAGGAACACTTCACTCAACTGAAGAGCTTACATCTATAAGGACTCGGCCACTGTCACTATCACTACAAATGATGCCATGTGCACGAGAAGGGGTACGGAGTGGGAAGAATAAATAGCAGAGGATTCAAGGCGCCGCGTAGAATTAGCTTCTTAAGCAGTATATTATGAAAAGAAATGCAAGCTGAAATTCACAAGAAGTATTCCCCTATGTCAGTCAGGGCGACATGACAAGAGTTTGAAGTAACAGTGGTATTAGTGTGTACGCGAGTGTCACGCAACTGTATCAAGACTGCTACGTAAAATAATAGAAAAATCCCCAAAATCATTGCATCTACTATAGTAACTGAACACAAAAGTTGAAAAACTACAAATCTCCATACGAAATCTAACTTATTTACAGACTAAAGAATGCGGTCAAGATATCTAAAAAATCTACCTTTGCTTGTCACAATTTTAACTAGCCATAGTACCGAGGATCACTCGAGGTCAGTGAGACATGAAATTGTCCGATTGTTCCTAATTTCAAATATGATATATTTAGTACCTTTGACTTGTATCGTAAACTAATTTGTAGATTCATTCTTTGTGTACCTTGGCAGGCAAAGGCTGGAATAGATCTAGAGACTATCTTAGGCTTGAGTTAATTTATGGACAGCGGCATTGCGGTGAAATTCAATAAATTCCTGAACTTCATCCAAGAGTTCACATGTCTCAGCAGGATTGGCAATCCACGCAGTAGTTCCTACAACTCGAGCCTTAAAGTCGTTACTGCCGGCACTTAGAAACTGATCCCCTACATGCAGGGTCGTTTCCCCGCCAATTCGAGTACTAGCTCGCTGACTCTCATTTCCTAAAGTCGAGTGCGCAAGTGAGCCGAAATAGTCTTGGCATACCAAAACTCCCCAGCTCTTATCGCCGATGTCCACAAAAACATCGTTTCCACCATTGAAAGCGCAGAATGGTAGTAGACGACCTACGTCACTCATTTCAAGCTTCTTCTGTATGACAAGGACTGTCTCTTCCAGGGACTCTCTGGGAAATTTGTATCCAGTAACCGAAGGTATGATACCTACTGCTCGCTCCTTCCGTATCAATGTAGCGTCTAGGGACAAGTTTGCGATACATTCTCGGAGACACGATTCTGCTAGATCTAGGAGAGCGGTGATTGTGTCTTGTGTCCATGTGGACATATCAGGAAGAATCCAACTTCGTCGAGGTTGATACGACAGAAGATAGGGTGAATCTAGTGCAAATTTGAATAGAAAATTGGATTCACCACCTGCCAGAATGGTTCGTTAGATGATTGAATTTGAAACACTCGACACGGAAATCATACCCATAACCACAAGATTTTCTTTTTGGGCAGGCGTAAGAGAATCAGAGGATTTAACTGCTTCGAGAAGACCATGAAGTCGCTGATAATATCTCTCTGCCTGTGTATATCCTGCAGCAGTGACGATTCCGACTTTTGTATCCTTGCTCATAAGATCTGGTGTCAACAACTTAGCGTAGTCACATTAACATAAACCTGGTTCAACTTGCATAATATCTTCTCAATCACTGGATTCGAGGGTTCTAAGGACTTTCCATCATCATAGCTCCAACTCATTAGCTCCACTAACTTGACTCAAGGGTAGTTTATCCTCACAGTGTAACGTCACCATCAAAGGTAGCCAATCCTAATTGGCCCGTAGAAGTGACGGCCATAAGTTGCGCCGTATTGAGAATGAGGCGAATATCATTAAATGATGGGGGAACAAAGCGCCTAGAGGAAATAAATCGTTTTCGGTCTTGGTACCTAAATGCATTTGCGAGAGGAAGTCGTGTAAAGAAGGTACCCGTGCTAGGGACGAGAAGTTTCAGTTTTGACTGTCCTTGGAGGCCAACTTTTTGGTGTTGGACTTTTGCATTACTTCAGTGATAAGTTTCTCTCTAGCAGTAAACGGGCTCTCACTGTGATCGTCAATCATTTCTTCGACATCTTGCATAATCTCGGCATAGCGACGATGTGCCTCTTCGGCCATTTGTTGCACTGAGTGGCAACGACTCTCGAAAACTCCTGTTGGTTGGGAGTACAAAATAAACGGTACCGCAAGGAGTCCTTTGATCCATTCTAGAACGCCTAACGTCAGCTGCTGAAGCTATTGAATGAGACTCTGATCCTCTGCTGTCAGATATCTCTGAGACCTAGGTGCTAGGGATCAGAGACTAAGAGTGTGTAAAACCTATAAATTGATCTCTCCGATGGGTTTTGAGGGCGTCTGTGATGGTATTAGTCCGGTGAGATGGCTTGGGTAGTTTGTATTGAAGGATAAGCAAATGAAGTACATTCAACTCTGTATCTGGTAGTCATGATGATTAACTGTTGTAGTGCATAGTTCGAGTACAATAGAGCTGGTGATTGAAGTTGGGAACTTGAGTAGCGCTACAGAATACGAGGATCATTGGCAATTGCGTTCCGAAGACCTGCGTGGAGATTAGGCGCATAGTATCCATTCAACCGTGAGTCTTCGCGTCTGGCCTAGCCAATTCAGATCCAGTAGGGATCATAAAAGCATATCCGATAGTTTACTCCCGGTTAGCAGCGCTATCGATCATCGTCGATGAAGATGATGGGAAAGATGCTGATCCCATGCACGAAATCCCTGATAATTGACTACCATGGTACCACGGTTTCAAGTTTTCAGAGGATTTAAATGGGGCCCATGTTCGCTTCAGCGTTTGTAACCCTGTTAGCGCTAATTTCGACAGGCTACATAATTCTTGTCTTGTATTTCCAGGCCCAAACTAAGGGCACAATTTGATTTCATTTCACCCTCAGTTTTATGCAAATCCAACCTGTCCTACAGTCCTTTGCCATCACTTTTATGACCGCCGACCGCTTCAAAGTTACACAGCTCTTCTCATCTTGTGCTTGAGTGACAATAAGAATTAGATTTCTCAAATACAAAGTTATTTATTCAGAAGACATATGGCTTTACTCGATACTAACCTTATTTTCCAGATGAATCCACCTCAAACCCCACCTTCAACACCTCGAATCAAACAATTATCCAGAGATAAAAATATTTTATTATGTAGAAAAATTAAAATGAACGAATTGAAATTAAAAGAAATTTTAAGATTTATGGGCTCCATGAACCTGGCAAAAACCAGACGCAGATTACCGCGCAACTAGGCATTTCTCGGGGACAAGTTAGTTATTCACTGCGCCGCGGAACTGCCTCCCCCAAAAAGAGAAAAAGAACATCCTCAAGGCTGGAAGCAGATGATGTTGATCAGATTATATCTTAGGTTGAGTCTTCACCTGAAAACCGCCGCAAAATATTTCTGGAACTCGCCTCTGGCCCCTTTAGACATCTTGGTGTTAGCGAGCGGTCAATACAAAGAGAACTTAAAAAAAAAGGATATCAGCGACATGTGGCTCGTCTAAAGACTCCAGTATCTCAGAAAACTATGAAGACACGCAGAGAATGGGCCGAAGCTCATCTCAATTGGACATGTGAAGACTGGACGTAAGTTTTGTGGACTGACGAAACTTGGGTAGAGGATGGAAGACATTCTAGAGAATGGGTGACAAGAAGTCTTCGTACATTCCTCTATGAGAAGATGGTAAATTGATGCTCCATCATTATGAGCTAGACTTCCCAAGAACACAATGCTGATTGTGTTGGAAAAAATCGAAGAGGGTTGGATGGATGTTCTGGGGTTGCTTTGCAGGGCTAGAAAAAGGCCCCTGTTTATTTTTGGAGAAGGAATGGGGTTCGATAAACGTCCAAAAATATTGCGCGAAAATAGTTCTTATCGATGGTATAGTCTTGATGAGACCTTGGCTTTCCGTAATGCAGGATAATGCTCAAGCCCACACAGCCGCAATTATAATGGAAGATATGAGCCAGAGGCTCATTCAACCGATTTTCTGGCCGGCCAACTCGCCTGATCTTAGCCCGATTGAAGCTGTTTGGAATAAGATGAAGGATTACACCCAGCGTCATCATCCGAATCTGGGTTGCGGAAAGCAGCGAACTCAAGATAGTCTTCGCAACATTGTAAAGGAGGCATGGAATTCCGTGTCTTCCGAAGATCTTGTGAGACTCATTCAGAGTATGCCAGCAAGATGTCAGGCTGTGGTAGATGCGGATGGGGGACCGAACAGATATTAAGGCCTGAAAATATTCCAGTCACATGTTCAGATCTAATATTAGGATAAGACTGGCTCTATTTTGTGATTCGAAATCCTTTGAACTCTTGTAAATAAGTTGAAAAGTCAAGTAGCAAAAATGCACAAATGTTATGCAGCCGATCATTATACAAATTAGGTTTAGTACGAAAGAAAGACCCACTGCAAACTATGGTGTCCAGATAAAAACTGCCATGCAAAATCTTTCAAAAATTTGCACAAATACGGGGGCTAACTCCAATATGGAAGGTGAATATGCCCAAGGAGTCTTAGTTTTCACGCTATAACCCCTGCCAAAGTCCCACTATAAACTTGATACCGTGGCAACACGGTACCTCAAACCGGGAAGTTGGAGATAAGGTGAGCCATTGTAGCAGGCTGACAGATGGTGGACCGAATGCATTAAAATATCTTCCGGCACACAACCCTCACATCAACTCAGCCTAGGGAGAACCGTACTATGTGTGTTTTATTTATTGCACTACTTGACTTAATGAGTTTCTAGCACATTTAGCTCCTCTCTGACCCAGGCTACACCTTGTACAGCGCTCCTTGCCTCTCATGTTTCTTAAAAGATCATTGGTATATTGCCCTTGATGAATAGCCATTCAGCTCAGTACTTACCCGTGGAATTCGGCCACCTTTTCTACGGAACCTTCTACTCAAATAAAAAAATAAGAAAAATAAAAAAATAAAAAAAATAAAAAAATGGTAGCAATGGAAACTGCGCGCGCGGGAAAAAGTCTCAAAAAACCTGCAGCCCCAGCCAGGCGAGGCCTAGACACCGGGACCACTTGAAGTGCGCATATTCATCTATATCTCCCTTCTTTGTAACAGTCGAGGCCAACTTGATCCAATCCACCATCTCCGTATCGGGTGCTAGGTACGCTCCGGAAACTCATCGGATGGCTTTTCCTCCATGATCAAGAGTTGGAGACGAGTAGGGCTCCGACCCGACCATCTGATCTGATCGTGGTTAGCTTCATGATAATGGTGATAGGGGGATGTGTTGAGAGATGAAGACGATACAGACCGCGAAAGCGAATGAGAATCCACATCGAAGTGAGGACGGATGTGCTACTCAATCTCGGCTCCGCAGGCTCTACAGTGAGAGCTGGAGGTTCGTAGGGGACACCACTGACAGGTGTTGAGGTTGTGGATATTGAAAGGCTATGCTGAGCTGGAATGACTTACAGTTAGGATGAAGGTATGGAAGGAGGTAGCTATGGCTTTAAGAGAAGTGAAGTTCGTGAGTTATACTCCTAGAGCTTGGATCAATGGATTGACTTGAGGATATTACCTAGTATTCTCAAGTGTTTGAATAATATGGAGCTTGTTATAATTTCCTATTGTATTAATTGCTTAAGTTATCTACGTGACAGGACCTTCTTTATACATGAATAAGGGGGTTCTGCACACTAGTGGATGTTCCAACATCTGTCCTTGTCTAATCGAGAAAGGAAGGATATGAGAGATCTTAGCGCCAATAGATACCATTAGGAATCTATTGGGAAATGCTATGTCATACCAATGAGTCATGATCTAGGTCAGTCATATCCCATGGCGCGTGTGAACATTATTCTAGTGTGAACAGTTTATTGTAATGCAATCATGTTACTCCATTAATTACAACAGTGGACGGCCAAACTATTAGAGAAAGTGACTAGGTATGAATTCCATTCCGCGTTGGAGCTGATGCCGAGCTACTTACATCTCACGCTGTCGCATTCATTTGGTCGTTATAGATAGTCCATATCTTCAGACGCACGCACCTGCTCGACTCCCACCGATCTCGGGGGATTTGCGGCTTACTATTACTACTACTCGCTTTCGACGGAGGCCAAAGAACGAGATCCTGTCCGCGGTGTCTTGTACGCACTTAGCAAATAAAAAGAATAAAAGATTTCGGAAAATAAAGTACCTGTTGAAGGTCAGGTGTAATTTAGATTACATAATTAGATATAAGCGTAATAGCATTAGAGCTGTATACACAATTTTTTTTTTTTGCATCAGATTTTAATTGCGTATGCAGCTATCTAGCTTTGACACAATATCTAAGAAAAGTACAGAAAAAATGACTCAATTTACGAGAGGAGCACTCATGCCTCAGATTTCATTTGCAAGTACCACTGCAAAGTTATGGTGGCTTTTTCTTCACCCCAAGTCAACCCTCATCCGTGAATACCCACCCAGGGGAACGTCTAAAAACCCTAAGTTATCCAGACATACCTCCGTCATCCATCAACTTTTCTCCGCGCGAAATATGATCTGAGATGTCTCCTTCCCAAGTGGAGTAGGTGCCCAGGCTACTCAGACTATACCGGAGAACACCGCCAGGAGGCGGACCACAACACCTTCCATCGTTTGCTTGTGTTTATAGTGTCAGCTGCACTTTCGCAAGCGAAGTCTTGGCGCGCACAAAGCTCGATTCGTAAAACTCTTGGCGAAATTCAAAATTACACGCACGTCGAGAATGTACCCCTCTTTTGCATCATCTCGTAAACTTGTCCTGATTCCCTCTCACGTCCATCCCAAAGAACTATCTCCCAGATTTGCGCGCCACACTTTGCTTCCTCCGTCGGATATAAATGTCGGCGTGGGCGTGTAATTGGCGGTCAACTAAGGCCAGAGAAAGTCGACTAGAGGTGTGATCATTGGGGTGAGGATGTACTATGTCGTACTTGTAGACTTGATGAAGCTTAGTCGAGAATCGGACTCTTTGGGAATGAAAGATTGACATGGTGGAGTAATTTGAAATTTTGCCTCGTGGGCCAACTTCTTTGATATTGCGAAATCTGACTGAACTTGGCTCTGGGGGAATATTTCACTCCCAGGTTCGTAGAGGACACTGCGTACAGGTGTTCAGTCTTGCCCTCCTGTATACACAATGAAAGGGAGATTGTTTCAAAGGGGTTTCTTTTCTTTGCATCAGACTTTAATTGCGTATGCAGCTATTTAGCTATGACACAATATCTAGGACAATTTTTTTGAAATTCGAATTTTCGAATCTTCACCTTCTCCCCCTCTCCCTCCCTCTCGCGCTCGTCGCATTCTATCAAATAATTGTGATCGAGTCGCTGGCATCTTAACCATGCCACCTGTTCGTAAAAAGCGTCCCTACTCCAAGTTGGACAACACGAGAGTCCGCCCGAGGGCTCTCGAAAAATTAGCTG